CCAACTTACACATGTGAAGCAATTGAAAATAGTATGGCGTAAGTCAAGTGCACCTTGGTCTTTAAGGTGACGTCCCTTTCAGTAAATTAAAGAGGTCCTTGAGCAGATTTGCCCAGTGCCATATGATGCTAGATGTCTTGACTGCCACAACACTATGGGTGTTGGTGGTGGGTTCAAAGTAAAATGAAGTCTTGGACAACTTTGTTCTTATTCTCCATTTGTTGTGACGTTTATCTTCCAGTTGTAAAGACTTTTCTCTTGTTGATGTTGAGATGTAGTCCATATTAAGGCGGAAGTCTTTGATCTTCCTTACTAAGGACTTCAAATGCTCTTCACTTTCAACAAACAAGATTTGTGTCATCTGTGTTATAATGTGACTTTTGATGGGCCTTCCTACAAGCCTTATGCCACACTTTCCTCTTATAGTCCAGCTTTTCAGATTAATTGTTCAGTAAACCTACTGAATAGGTATAGTAAAATGATACAACCCTCATGTATACTTTAACCAGTGTTAACCTTAAGTATCCCTTTGTTCTGTTTGAATGATAGCCTCTTATTTGTATACAAGTTCCTCATACACACAATTAAATATTATGGTATCCCATTCTTCTCAATGCTATGCTAAGAAGGAGAGTAGGCCATCCACTTCTGAAATAACGGGTCTTCCAAAACTTTATGACTAACAGAGAAATGTTGTTCATTATATATAGTGTTGGAAGATGAGCCTTTAGATTAGAAGGCAGTCAAAAATGAGGCGAGACATCTGCCAACATTCATTAATAATTGGAACATAGAATGTACAAAGTATAAATCTAAGACAGTGGGATGTTGTCAAAAATTAAAGTCATAAAGCTCAGCATCCTAGGTATTAGTGAACTGAGATGAACTCATATTGGCCACTTTGATTAGTCATGTGTTCTGTTATGCCACGAATGATGAAGAGAGGAAAAAATAGTTTTCAACATCTAACATACAGTGCTGTGAGTGATAGGATACTAGACAGTCACATAGAAGAAGGACTGGTAGTATCGCTGGACAGGAATATACAACAGTGACTTTAAATAAAAGGTGAAGAAATAGGATTTCTACCAAATTTTGTAGTCCTAAATGGATGGAATTCTACAGTCAAAATGACTCAGTAATAACAGTTGAACACAGAAATGCAAAAGTTGGAAACAAGAATAACTGATAATTGGAAATTACAACCTTGGAAATCAAATGGTAGATTTTTCTGCAATGAGTGATTTATTCATTGTAAGTACCCTTTTTAGTGAAGCATAAACAGCGCCTGGACCCTGATTGATGTCATCTGTGGAGAGAGTCCATGGAGAAGCTCAGTATCAGCAGTTAAAGCAAGGCCAGTGGATAACTTTGAAACAATCAATTCATGTGCAAGTTCAAATTGAAGCTGAAGGAAACGAAAACAGAGGCCATGAGAATCACAACATGACCCTGAAGTCTGTCCCAACTGAATTTAAAAACCATCTCAAAGAATAGATTTGATGCATTGAAAACTATTGACTGGAGACCAGGTGCCTTATGGGTTGACATCAAGGACATCATCCATGAAATAAGCAAGAGTCCATTACAAAGACATGAAAGAAAAAGGCCAAAATTATGTTGTTGTTGTTGTTGTTAAGTGCTGTCAGATCAAGTACCACTCTTAGCAACCCTATAAACAGCCTGTCTTATCCTGTACCATCCTCACAATATCTGACACACTTGCTGCAGTCACCATGTCAGTCCATCTGGTTGAAGATCTTTCTCTCACCATCCCTCCACCATTCCAAGCCTGATGCCCATCAGTAAGGAATAACCTCTCCTAGTAGTATGCCCAAAATATATGAGACGAAGCTTTATCATCTCTGCCTCCAAGGAGCACTCTGTTCTTTTGACAGTCCATAGGATATTAATTCTTCTTCTCCAACACAACACAAAAGCATCAGTCATTCTGTCGTCCTTATTCCTTGTCCAAGTCTTACATGCATAGCAAGTGATTGAAAAGACATGAATGAATGTTAGAGATAAAACTTGCACTACAGTGTGAGGGGTAGTTGTTGTTGGTAGATGTTATCAAATAGACTGCAAGTCACAATGACCCTGTGAACAACAGATCTGAACGTGCTCCACCCTTCATCATCCTCAGCATCTGTGATATCTTTGTTAGCTCATTGGTACACCCATTGTTTAAATCCTTCTTGTTTAAGGTCTTCCTCTCTTTCTGTGACACTGCGGTTTTCCCAGGATACTGACTATACAATTAGGAATATTTTTGAGTAATATAATTCCGTTTTCCTCTTAAGTATTGAACCCTAACCAATGTTGCCATTAGGTGTCATCAAGTAGACTATGACTCATAACGACCCTGCGAACCAATCTGAACCCTGTCCTATGCTGCACCATCCTAATGATCTCATTCATGCTCAAGCACATTTTGTCTTTCACTGTGTCAGCCTATCTGATTGAGGGTCTACCTTTCCCAGCCATGATTTCCAGTCTGTCTCCCAAGGGCTGCTTCCTTTTGAGAATATCCACAAAGAAAGTGAGGTGAATTTTCACCATCCTTGCTCCCAAAGCTGGTTGCACTTCCATCAAGGCAGATATATTTGTCCTTTTAACAGGCGATGGGATAGTCGATACTCTTCGGCACCACTGCAATTCAGAGGCATTGCTGCTTCTGTCATCCTAGTCCTGACTTTCAGATTCATGGCAAGTAATTGAAAAGACTATGGCTTGGATCACTTGGATCAGGCCCACTTTAGTCTTTGAACTGGCTTCCTTGCTTTTTAGAACTTTGGAGAGGTCCTTGGCAGCACATCTCCCCAGTGCAGCACATCTTTGGATTTCTTGACTGCTGCTACTTTGGATGTTGGTTGTGGATGGTGGAAACAAGTCAAATGAAACCTTTGATAATTTCAAGCTCTTCTCCATCTGTCATGATTTTACCTGTTGGACCAGGGATGGGCTGGACCACGGACCTTTTGATTAACAGGCACATTAACCCCTGCACACAGGCAGTCAGATCACAGAAGCAGCTTCATCATGTAACAGTGCACTCACCAGGCTTCTCCAGCTCTCAACTTACAGTTATTAGAGACCTCCTGAGCGAAGTTCAATGACTTCAAATTCTAAAACGCACTCTTACCCTAAAGGAGAGCTATAAAATATGGAAGCGTTTTCTCCATTTTTAATATGTAAATTGTAGACTTGTATATACTTTACATTTTTATCATTTTGTATTTATTTCTGCTTGTATATTAATTTTGAAATGAAAAATGAGGCTGTTGTTAGTGTCTGGGAATCTGATGGCAGTCATGAAGACCACACATGTGAGATGCTGCTACTTCCTGAACCCCATGGTGTGACCACATTCATTCAGACGCTGTGTCTTGTAGACTGTTCACAGTGGTTGCATGTATGAAGGTGTGTGGGAGTTAAGGGGTTGTGACTATGGGGGGTTTCACAGCTTGTCTTGTCTTGTAAAAATCTTAAGAATCTGCATTCTAAGATGTATTTTCTCACCTATGTTTTTTTTAAACTATTAACTCTTCAGTTTAAGAACTTTAAAATTAGGCAAGTGTTATTCTATAAATGAAATTACCTTCCATCATAATTTCATTAAAGACTTTATTACTATCTGCTCAAGACACAGCCTTGCTATTTCTTTTATAGTATTTCTTCCAAAACCATCTCATTTTGCTACACTTGACTCTTGAAGGCAAGTCCTAATTTTTTAATTCATCTTTGATTACTTAGTGTCGTGTTAGCCAATCAGTAAATAGATTGTAAAGGCACTGTGGACTCTTTTCACTTCACTGAGAAACAGTAAATATTGAAAGAATATTTTAAGTAAAACAAAAGTATAATTTTATATCATATTTTCCAGGGCTTTGATCATTTTTTATGTGCTTTTGAAAAAATGAAGAGAACTGCTTGCTTTCTGTTGATCTTGATAAATTAATATCTTTAAGAAAAATAAGTTTAATGCCAACATAGGAGAGGAAGTGGCATTTACTTTAAAGTAGAACCAAAGCTAATTGCTATTAAGACCGGTGCACTGTTTCTTACCTCAGCCACCTTTCACATGACAGTTCATTTGAACAGATTAATGAGGAGCTCTGGTGGCTCAGGGGTTAAGTGTTCAGCTACTCGCCGAGAAGATCCACATTCCCTACCATTCCACCGCTAAAGAGTAGACTTGATGTGAACAGGCTTTATTCTAATATGCTAACCCAGATATCAGTTTACTGATGGACAGAGATTGAAAGTAAGTGAGACCTACACCTGTGTGCATTTGTTACTTTAGCTAAACTTTGAATGGTATCTTTACAGATGAAAAGCAGTTTGTTACACCCTTAAAGGCTATTCATTACAAAGAACTGTAGTAGAGAACATTGGGAACAAAAAAAAAGAAATTCACATGTAATGAATGAATTTTTTTCCAAGCTTACTAATCAGTGTTACCACTGTACAGGAAGAAATAAGAGAATTTCTTTTCCTTCAGACACTCTCCATGATGTTTGAATACAATAAGTAGCAGGATATGCCATAGTAGGAAAACAAATGATCAAAGACAACTTCAAGCAGATGTATTTATTCTTTTTGAGAAAATAAAGAAGTGATTCTTGCATATCCTCTGCCATTATTTCTTTATGAAAACCTGGTGACCTCAGTCAGAAATAAAGCTTCCTTGGAAGAATGTCAGCAGAGCTCAACTAATGGTACTACTTTTGAAAGTAAAATAGGGACACATCTTGTGCTATGGATGAATACCACTTGAATGGGAAACCGGGCTCAATGTTAAGTCAGGTCTCTTAGTTAGCTAAACTCTCCAGCTGTTTCCGACCAAAGGATGCATGATAGGACTTTAAAGGATCCTGCCATCAGAGTGAGACATTTTTGTTAGAAGCTATAGGAGGCATTCCTTACAGCCATAAATGTTTTCAAAATAAAACGGCTAGGAAGAATAAGCAAGTATTCACCGTCTTGTCTTTTCACAGGGATTATCAGCATAGAAGGAAGGTCTTGTAACCATCATGCCGACACAGCGCCAACAGTAAGGCATTCTATTTCTGTGTTGTTGAGATTGATAGAAACTGCACAGTGGTACTGGTGACAGTGACACAAAATGCCATTGTAGGAGACTTCCTTTCAGTCAAAAATAGTCTTTTGTGAAAATTAACTTTATGTTCTCTTTTCAATGACTGAAACAGTCATGTTTTTTCCTTTTTCTTAATATAGGTAAAAATATACTACTACATTTTTATGGATACTTGTTTACATTCATATTTATGAACAGATCCTTTAATTTAAAGATATTTCATAGTTTTAATAAAATAATTTAACTATAAAAATGGATTTAAAATTTTTTTAAAAAATGAATGTTATTTTGTGCACTGGAACCATTATTTAATTAGTATGATTTAGTTTGTAATAATGAAAGAAAGTCATTATGGGTTATATTGCTTTGTTATAAGCAGAAATGAAATCTCATTTTTCTGTTACCTTCCTTCTTTTACTACCAAATGATCAAGAGGCTTTTAGTAACTGCTGTAACTACTTAGCCTATTTTCAAAAATTACAAAATATAATACAGAAGTAAGAAAATTAATTTCCTTTACCTTTATTCCCTAGATTTATTTACAATAAGTATAAATATGCATACTTCAGATATGCTATTAAGAAGGACCAGGCCTTGAAAAAAGACATCAGGCTTGAAAAAGTCCAGTCAGAAGACGACTCTCAACGAGATGAATTTGCACAGTTCTGTGAACACACCCAACAGAGATTGGGAAGACGGTGAGGGTCAGGCCTGGGTTGTTCTGTTGTACACAGGATCTCCATGACTTGCCAGCACCTCTCAACAACAGTAGTGGTTAGATCTAAGTTGAGAGATTTACTCATAAGAGAAGAGACTAATATTCATTTTACTCTGGCCTAAATAGAATCTGTTTTTCTCTATTCTGTACAAAAAATTTTTCACCTATGCTATATGATTATTTTTTCCTCACTGTTTTTAAGTAGTCACTCATAAATTTTATAAAAATAGAAAGATATCATTAGGATTAGAAGGTGTCATGAAGTGACAATTCAGAGAACAAGCATTTTAAGCCCTGTAGGCTGTTTGAGGTAAATTTTGACTTTTGATGATTGTCAGATTTATCAAATAAAAATATAATATTTTCACCTAAAAAATATAAAGATATCATGGTAAGATTTATTCATAGATATTCTATTTGTGATCTATTCATGTTACTAATTTTCTGTGTTTTATTAACTTAATATTTGGAGCTCCAAAAAAGACTAGTATTTCTAGAATTACTCCTCAGCCTAATCATAAAAAGAAATGTGTGTTTTAATTATCCTTTAATAAGTATGCTAATGTTTAAATAGAATACAACAACAAGTATGCTAAAACAGAAGCCAAACATTATGTAAATTTTATTCTTTAATATTTCAAATGAACATTCACAATTAAGGGAAATAAATTATCTCTCATGTATTTAAATAATATATTTAGTTTTGGATTATTTTACATACTTTTGAAATTTAGTCTGTTTCTGTAGACTTCAGCATGGCACCTGTATTTACCTTCCTGTGTTGTGTGTATATCCTGGAACTCAGAAAAGGCAGCTAGGCAGAATATATTATTGCCTTCTAGGCTGACTGTAGATTTCCATGCTAAGTAAATGATGAAGGAAGAGAAGCAAATCTTAGTAGAAGGAAGGAAATCATGAGAAATAATGGCATTATCAATTACAGTCATATCCCGTAATGAGCTCACAACCGTTCCATGATTTAGAAAAAAAAAAATCTAATACATAATAATTTTTTTCAACTTTTGTATGTTGGTCCAGTTAATTTTGTGTGCTGACCCAGTTGAGTTAATTTAAGTAAGACCTCCCAATATATTAATAACATGTCTGTCCTGTGTAATCATTAATTGTGAAAATATTTGGTTTATTCAGGAAGTCAGCAGACATGTAGCATTCTCTCCAGTTTTCACTCTAGCCGTTCTCCTTTTTGATGTGTTTTTCTGAGGCAATACCAGCTGCATTTCTCCTTTTGTCTCTTTACCCTGAACTAAACATGTTCTCCCAAGCTCTGCAGTCTCCCAGCTGGTTGATGGTTAACTTTGATCCTTTCTGCATAATCTCTAAAAGAGAATCACAAGACTGATCTTTATTCCTGGGCCTTTTGGTCATCATTCTCGTATTCTTAAAAAATATAATTTAATATTATTTTAATTGTTTGAATTCTTGCAACTTTACTTCCCTTAAAGATTTTAGGAAAACAAAAAAACCATCCTGGTATAAAAGAAATAGGAAAACATCTATCTAAAACTATAGGAAATCTGTAAGTCTGAACTTCATGTTGAGGACCTTTGAAGTCCTCGAAGGAGAGATACCATGATTTTAAAGTTATTTTCTGAGTCCAGAAAAAAAAGGAACCCTCAAAAGGAATGAGGTCAAGATTTCAGAATGGCCAAGGCTATAGCCCCTGAATGATTTCCCCATGTCTGACCCACAATTTTTGCCTCACTTCTCTACTCCTTATCACGTCTACTTTCTTCTCATGGGGATCCTTGCTTCATCTGCCTAATTAATCATAAAAGAAAATGCTTTGCCAGATGAACAGCGTGGATCTAGGAGAATGCTGGTTGCAGCTACTCAACAAATGTGGGCAGTGATTCATTGAAAACTGTTGGAATTGTGAATAACTTTTTAATAAGTGCATGATAATAATTTATTTCAAGGGGATTCTATATAAACAATTAAAAACTCATTGCCTTCAAGTTGAAACTGACTCAGAGCTGACCCTGTGAGGGATATAGTTGTTGTTGTTTGCCATTTAGTCGAGCACGGCTCATAGCGACCCTATGAACAGAAGACCTGAGCTTTTCGATAACTGTTGTTTCTCAAAGTTATAGTGTTTCCAGAGGCATGTTGTTTAGGAACTCCTGCTTCCAAACCTGTCTCAAACACTGTCCACCATGGATAACCATTATACCATTTGAAGCCCCAGTGGCACAAGGTTCAGTATCATGGCCACCCCAGGTTACCTCAGTACAGCACATTGGCAGAAGAGTGCTGTGCCACTTAGAAGAATGTCCCTCCAAAATATTAAGAGGATGTAAATTGTACAGGAGAATATTACACATCTCTCTCTCGCAGAGCAGATGCTAGATCTGAACCAACTACTTTGGAAGCATAACTGGTTACCCAGTAGGCCTCCAGTTAGCCTGAGAACAAATCTGTTTCTATTACTTTATTCTGTGTTCTCTGTAATTCTTTTTGTTTCTAATTTATCAATATGAATTTTGATAATTTTTGTATTTTTATAATTGTCACTGTAATTATTAGTATTATTATTATTGTTTTCTCTTGAGTCAAGTACAACTCGTGGCGACCCTGTAAACAATAGATCTTGATCCTCTCTTATTCTGTGCCAACTTCACAATCTCTGACACATGAGAATATAGTTTTCCTTTTTTAAAAATGCTATTACTTGTTACCTTTAACTTCTGGGGTAGGGGAGAACCCATTCTTACTTATTTTCTCATACAAATTAAGAATATTATGGCATCTTTAGGGTCTTTATACTTGGAGCAAGGCATTAAATGTTCTTTTCCAGTTTTTTTCCCTCCAACTTCCTTAACTGATTGACTTAAATGATTTACCTCCTTCAGTCATTTTAAATACAATCTAGATAAGCTTAGTTAAATTATGATTTTTACTTTATAGGCCACTCTTCTGGCATCCTCTATGGGAAGTTGTGCTGCTAATCCAAATGCAACTCTCTGACTGTTCAAATCCACCGGTGACTCCAAGGGAGAAGATGGATAATCTCCCATGCAGTGCCCACCTTTAAAAACCCAATGGAGAGACAGCTAGGAGTTGGTTCCTACTATATAGTAATGAGGGGAACAGGAATAGAACTTCCTATCTTGTCTCTTTTGTAAATATATTAGACTTCTGTTTTCAGTGTTACGGTAGTTATTTTGCTGGGGCTCTGTGTTTCTGTATGTATATGGGACTGTTGTTATGTGCCATCGAGTCAGAACAAACTCATAGCTGAAAGGGAGTTTTCAGAGGCCCTAAGTTCCACGAAAGGAGATTTCCCATCCTTTTCCCAAGAAGCAACTGGTAAACTCAAGCCGAGGGCTCTTGAGTCTACAGCACAACTGCCATGTGGCCGACTGACTGAAAGAGATCCGTATTTGGTCCCATTCATAAAAAGGTGATCCAACAGAATGTGCAAATTATTTAACGATATCATTAATATCACAGTCAAGTAAGACATCCACAGGAAACTGTCGGCAATTCAGGCTGGATTCAGAGGAGATCTTGGCACAAGAGATATTACTGCTGATGTCAGATGGGTTTTGTCTAAGAGCAGAGATGACCAGAAAGATATTAATTTTTCTTTTATTGACTTTGCAAAGGCGTTTGACTATGGATAACAATAAGGGCTAACACTGAGATAACTGGGAATCCTAGAACACTTAATTGTACTCGTGCACAACCTACACTTAGACCAAGAAGCTGTTGTCTGAACAGAGCAAGGGAACATTGCATGTTGTAAAATCAAGAAAGAAGGGATCTCTGGTGCCCTAGTGGCAAGAAGCTGCACTGCAATCCAAGAGGTACGCAGTTCAAATCCACCAGATGTTCTGCTGGAGAAGGAGGGGCAATTTCCTCCTGTACCAGTCGGATCTGATTCGATGGTACACTCACACAAAACAAAAAATAAAAAATTTTAAAAATCAAGAAAGGACTATTTCAGGGTTATAACTTTTCTCTATACTTATTCTGTTTGCTGTTGTTGTTGTTGTGTACCATAGAGTCAGAACTGACCCATAGCTGATCCTCTAGAGGGTTTTCAGAGGCACTTAATCACATAGGAGGAAATTGCCTGTCCTTCTCCCACGGAGCAGCTGGTGACCTTAAACTGTGTGCTGTTGGGATTTCAGCACAGCTTCTTGCTGCTAGGCCACCAGAGCTCTCTATTCAGTCTCTATACTGAGCAAACACTTAAACAAGCTGGAATCTGTGT